ACATGCTACTCATGCTACTCCTCAAAAAAAAAGACTAAAGAATCAGATGCATATTTCAGAGTAGTGCTGCATTTTCCACCATCTTTGACACGACCTCAAAGAGCACAGTGACTGTTCTGTGCAGGAACAGCCAGTTTGCTCATGATCAAATCCAGACATTTTCATCTTGGGCGGGAGATTTTAAAACATAGTGGTGACAAGGTAGGAAGGTGCACAAATGAAGTTTCAGAAAACACAGTTGTAACTGTATTTGGGAATCCACAGTGAAGTTAACCATGATTAAGTAAAGATAAAATAAGCCTAAGTACATCTACTTTTGGCATTTAAGATGTACAACTTAGCCATGCTTTTGGTTGACAATTTTCCTAACTAGCAGAGATTCCTAAAGGGAGATCAAATAATACTTTGATTCCTCTGCTTTCATACATTAAGCATAGCCATCTTTCATTTTACCAACAGCATTTGCCAGTGAAGAGACGGCGCAGAGCACATAGATCATTTAGTAATGCAATTTTCTGTCACTTCTAGATCATCTCCCCGTTCAATAAAGTATACTTCTCTTCTAAACACTATTTGCCCTGGCTGATATCTTCATAATACAGCTGAAAACCTCAAGCCATTATCACTAGAAGGCATCAGCTGATCCTAAATTGGCTAGACTGCAGCGTCACAGGCATTTAAGAGGTTTCCTTATCATTCATCTTTAATACTGAGGGATCGACACACTCCTACCTGCAGCTTCCAGGCCAAGGGGAAACCTTCTAATGGCATTACCATTATCTTGTAATCTGAATTTTAAACAATTAAAACAATAGCACTTTTATGTTGCAGGTCTCTACCGTAACCAAAGATGATATATTTTTCATCAGTTGTCATGTTCAAAGTCTTACATACAGCACTGATTTTTTTAAAAAAGCAGAAATATGCACTCTGCATTGAAGCTGCTGAACCTTCAAAGAGAACCAGCAGTGTAACAAGGCACTTAAATTGAAGTCATCAAGAGAGACCATTTGATTTACCCAGGAAAGGTTTGGTCATTTTATTTTAAATCTGCAGTTCTTTCAGTCAATACGATCTGGCAATTCTTTCCAAATGAAAGCCTCTTTTTACTGAAGCAGGGGATGGCTCCACCCCTGACCTCCTCCTTCAGCTTGTTTTGGAAAGGGGCCAGATGACAGCATTTGGAAAAGCGCATGTTTATCTCGGCGAGGCCAGCTGCTAAGTTAACATATTACCCGTTCCCACATCCCCCGCTCTTGGTTAAGTCTTCACAGCTAAAACTGAAAGTAAACGCTGCCATTGGGCTTTTAATAAATGTAACACGAAAGAGAAAAGGAGTCTCCATGGCATGGAGCATCTGAACGGGCTGCAGAAGTGTAGGTCATTTTGAGTGAACAGCACGCAGTAATTCTGTCAATAAAATTCCTGGCCTTTCTGAATGAAAAAACTGAAAAATAAGCGGGTTTATTTCTAGACTAATTTAAAGCTATGCTTTCTGTAAGACTGCCACTCAGCAACAGTTTGCTCCACTACACAAGGAGAGTCTACGTCCCTGCTTGACAAAACCTTTCACTTTATCTTGTTTTATTGTTAGTCCATACTTGGCAAGGTATGGAACATAGGAGCTTTGAGAACTTCAGCAAAGAATCTTCAGATCAAAAGTAATCTTATGCCCAATTATGTTTTTCTCATTTTAAGGAAATTCCATCTCATTATTTTCCAAGTCTTAAAAACCTCTACTTCCCTCAAACACCAGTGAAAGATCTCAACTCATCAAAAGCAGAGTGTGTTATCTTATTAAAAAAGAAAAATCCTGGAAAAGAAACCAGAAATTAAGGCAGAGGTGGGGTTTTCACTGATCCCAGCAAGGTCCAGCAGGCTTTGCAACGAGCAATCCCACCCACTCACAGGTGACCAGAGACAGATTTTGGAGGAAGCCAAGATGCCATGGCTGAGGGTGAGCCCCCAAGTCCCCAAATGGTTTTTAGCCCAAAGGCAGTGTCCCAGAGCAAACTCCACTCTGCCGTGGCCAGCAGGGAAATGGAACAGCCCAAGGCTGCCCACAAGGACATTCCCAGGCACTGGAACTGATGCCCTGCACGCTGACAGCTCAAAATAATCCATGTGCTGGAAAGCTGAGGTACAGCACACACAAAACATCCGTGTGTAACACAACCGTTCTTACTCTGATGGATACCCAGACTTAAATCTGTCAATATGGGAATCCACACATAGAACAGGAATATTAATATATCCTAAATATATCCTGCTGCAATCCAGAGGAGCTCTCAATAAAAAGGTTTGTTTGTCTTGTTTCTTTCATTGCTACAAACAAAACCTTTAGACAGAAGTACAAAATAATGCCTAAAATACAGCCCCTACTAACACCCATCCCTTTCACCCTGGATCAAGTCCTGGCTGCAGCAGCTTTCCCTATGGCTGCACCTGTTCTCCGGGGGCTGGACTGTAATGAACCTTCCTCATCTCAGGAAGCCAGGCAGATCACTTCAGTCAGAAATGATCCGGTCCCCTTTGAAGATAACGATAAAACCACACAAGGCATTATTACACTACTGCTGGTGCCCTTAAGCGTTCATTTTCTCTAAAAAAAAAAAAAAAAAAAAAAAAGTTCAAATTAATCTGATTTACTACAGCTTTTTTCACAGACTGAGTCCCGGGCTCGGAAGCAGCTAGGTTAGGTTATCCATCAGCCGAGGCTGCTGCAATCTCACCCAAAAAGCACCACAGTGCTACCCAGGGCAGCCCGAGCCTGCACAGGCTGGAGCAGTTCCCTCACTGGGCTATACCCAGGGCTGACACTGATGCTTTCACGTTCGGCAAAGAATTCCAGAAGAGAATTCTGAGCAGAGCAGGGACGCCAGCGCATCCGGGGGCTGTTCCTCAGCACACCATTTTGAGCTCACAAATAACGCACAGGAGCAGCCAGCCAGACATCCCAGGGATTCCTGAACCCGAGGAACCGCGGCTGTGGGAAACTCTGTGATGTGCTAAGCACAGGTTGCAGCCACTGCAAGTCACCTCCTATTTCCTTGGAAAACACCAGGGGAAGCAGTGAGAACCCGTGTGTACCTTCCCACTACCTTCTCGAAATTATTATTTTTAAAAAATGTAATATCCGAGAGGAAACTCCACTTAAATTCTCAGTCGTCGGGGAATCCAAAAAAAAAAACCAAAAAAAAACAAACCAAACCCACCCACCGCAGGGAAGGAGGGCAGGATCTGGAAGCCATGGCTCGCTCTCCCAGCAGCAGTGCAGATGTTCTCCTGCTCCTCCGCTCTGGCATTGTCCTCAGGTCCACAGCACCACCGACACCCACCTGATTTAAAGCTCTGCACCACCGGCCAGCCCACTAACAGCGGGATTTATTGGAATTTTAATTACCTTAACCGGCCTAATGTCCACAGCAAATTTCTGTACATAAATTAGCATAATTCGCCAGATACATACATATGCAAACGAGAGGGAAAAATATGCAACAGACACGGGTATGACGTCCCAAAGATTATTTCTAAATTTAAACTGGCTGTTAGAATAATTGAATAAATCTCTTCTCGCAGATACACTCCAGTCGTAGCAGAAAATAAACTAGCCACAAAGACCTGCAGTATTATTTTTAATGGGAAAAGAGGAGGGAAAACCCAATTGAGTCCAATAAATCCCATAATTGAACCTTCAACTAATTACATATTAAGAAGATTAACCTTTGACACAAACTTGTGATACAAACAAAGAAGCCTCGAACAATTAATAAACTTCCAGTGTTTCAAGATTTCTCAGGTTAACAACTGAGCCCTCCCCATTTTCCTCCCCTTCTGGGTCGCAGTTAAAGGAATAAACTCTGTTTAATATTCTCTCTCCCTCTGGACATTCCAGGTTTAGACGAAGATCTCTCTGTGAATACTCAGGAGAAAATTACTGCGGATCCTCACAATCTCATTACGTGGGGGAAAAAAGGAAAAATAACACAAATCTAGATATTTTAACTTTTAAAAGAAAGCAGCCAAAGGACAAAGCTGGAGCTCTTGTGTTCGCCCACAGGGCAGCACTGCTGGCCATGCCAACAATTTTCCAGCCCTGGGATCATTTCCAACCCGCTCTGCGATAATTTTCACACGTGTAAGTTCTAAAGGAAGAGCACACGGTCATGCCTTGCAGCAGAAGCCGCCTTCATGTCATGTCTGAGTGGCACAACACGCTCACAAATGGCACTTTCTGCTCGCTCTTCGCGGCCAAGCAGCGATTCCGAACAGAGAAAAAATATGGAATTAATTCTAGCATTAAAAAAAAAAAAAATCCGGAGGTTGTTCTCATTTTTTTAAAAATCGGATAAAAATAGAATGGATTTTGAAATGTTTTGGGGCGTTTCTTGCCTCGCTGACTAATAAGCAGTTTAAAAATAATAATAATCTCGTTCAGACTTGTGAAAAAGGAGGAATGCACCGGCTTTGCAGGTCTCTTCCCCTGCTAACTTCTACCATGCCCGGATTAAGAGAGGCTCTTACCCCTTCTTACCTTTTAGTCTTTTCTTTATGGGGCTCTTTGGCAGCTTTCGATTCAGTCTTGCTGTAAGGAAACGAGTATTTTGTCTACCGTGTAGGGGTCTTTCTGACGTGTTCCTTTCTTATTTTTAATGCTTTTTTTTTTTAAATTTTTTTGTAAGTGTACCCGTAATTTCACGAATATGAATACGAAAAAAATCTCACACGGCCAAAAAAATTAAGTTTTTCGTTGTTGTTGTCGTTTGTTTACCCCCCTCAGGGAAAAAAAAAAAAAAAAGTCTGCCACACAGGAGATGAAAAAAAAACCCAACAGATCAACAGGAAAACACTATCCAAGTAGAAAAGCAAAGAGCTTCAGTGTTATCCAGCCCAGAGGAGAAGTGCAGCAAAAGCAGGTCCAATTCCAAAACAAGCTTCTGATTTCCAGTGAAGCAAAAAAAAAAAAAAAAAATCAAAACAACAAAAAAAATAACCAAGACCAAGAAACCAAAATACACGTTCAAGTCCCCAGCTAAATTTTTGCACGAGTGTGTCTTAAATACAAGTTTGCTTTTATGTGTTGCAGCAAAACCCACGAAAAGCCAGGATTTGGAGTTGATCGGGATGAGTTCTCGTGTGTGTGTCTTGATGGGTTCTCAGTCCACATGGAGGAGCATCTGAGGGTTTTTCAAAAAGTGCAAATCAAAAAAGAGAATATGGGATCCAGAAAAGAGTTTTAAGATGGATCCCCCCTTCAAAATAAAAGGAGGAGGTGGGGGTGGGGGGGGGGAAAGAAAAAAAATAATAAACCACCACCGCGGAGGCACGGGGGGATGCGGAGTCTCACATGGGGCTGCGGGCAGGAGGAGGATCCCGCCGGGAGCTCCGGGGGGGCGGAGGATCCAGCGGTGTCTCTGCGAGGGGAGGAGGGTCCGCGGCTCCGCAGGGACCCCGCGGGCGATCCGGGCCGGGAGGAGGATCCAGCAGCCGCTCCCGCAGGAAGGAGCGAGCGCGGGGAGGGGATCCGGGGAGGAGGATCCAGCAAAGTCTTTCACGGAGGGAGGAGGGAGCGGGGAAACCCGACAGTCTGTGTGCCTGGCTCGCAGCGGGATCCGCGGGCAGGCGGGGAGGGGAGGGGATCCCGCGGCTCTCTCCGTGTCCTCCGCAGGGATCCGGCAGGGACCCGGGTGGGCGGCGGGGAGCGGGGCAGCCGAGGCGGCGGCGTGTCCCCGGGGAACCGCAGCAGCGCCTCGGGCAGGGTCGGTCGGTCCGCCGGGGTGCTGAGGGGGAGGGGGGGGGACGCAGCGCCGCTCGCCGTCTCTCCCGCTCGCTCTCGCCTCGTCCGCTCGCAGGGCAGGCGGTGCCGGGCTCAGTGCTGCCGGGCCGGTCCCCCGCTCCTCCGCGCCGCCGCCGCCGCTGCCGCCGGTGCCGCCCTGGGGAGCAGAGGAGCCGCTGCCGCCGCTGCCGCCGCCGCGGCCATTTTGTCGCTGACTGACAGAGCCCCGCCAGGCAGCGCGAGACCGCGGGGCGGCTCCGCGCGCGCCCCCTCCCGCGCTGGCCGCGAACAGGAAGTGCCGCGCTCCCCCCTCCCCCCCCCACGGCCCGGCCCTCCGACCACGTGACTCGGGCGGGAGGGAGGGAGGGAGGGGGGAGCCCCCGCCGATATGCAAATGAGCGCGGCGGCCGCAGCCAAACAGCGGAGAGGGCGCGCGCGCGCGCCGCGGGCCACGCCCCCCATGCTACCCAAACCACCACCCCCCCCCCCCCCTTCCGCAAAGGCGCGCGCTCTCCCGCCACCGCCGCGCGCGCAGCCCGCGCCCCGCGGGAAGAGGGGGCGGGGCTGTGCCCCCCCCCAACCAAAGGGGTACAGGGGGGTCACCCCCACCCGGGAAATGGGTGCCCGTGCTTTCACACACACACAGCCCCCCCATGCCAGCGGCAGGGGCGAACGGCAGCTCAGCCCTCCCTCGCATACCCCACCGTGGGTGGAGGGATAGATGGCGAGAGAGATGTGTCCCCCTAAAGGGGTTTGGAGGGGCTGTGCACCCCAGGAAGGGGTGCAAAAGGGCTTCACACACACACACCGGTCCATGTGGGCATCGGAGTATTCACCCCTCCGTCGCACACCCCCGCGGTACAGGGGGGCTTCACCCCCACCCCGTGCAAATGGGGGTCAGTGCATTCACACACACACAGACACCGGGCAAACGGCATTAGGCGCATTCACCCCTTCCGCACAACCCCTGGCCAAGGGGGTGGCAGGAGAGCTGTACCCCCAAAAAAAGGTATAAAGCGTATAAAGAAGTGCAGAGGGGCTCCCCCCCCACCCCGTGCAAATGGGGGTCGGTGCCCTCACCCCTCCTCACACACGTCTGGGAGGGTTGATCCAGTGGTGGAAAGGAGGGGTTTAGCATTCCTGCTGCTCCCCGAATTGCCAAGAGCGCCCCTTCTTTCTGCCAGCATCCCTTGCCTTAAACATCCATCCCTCTGGATACATCCGTACCCTGGCACGTGCAGTGCGCACGGCCGTGCGTGTCCCAGCACGCACACCAGGTGTAGGTGTGCACTGAGGTGTGGGCACACACCTGCAGGGACACCCCTGGCTTACACTCTCGGGGTGTCCATGGACACGGTCCGGCCCCCCAGGACACCTTCCCGCACAGCCCTGCAGGGCTCTTGGCCATCAGAGGGAATCCCCGTCCTACCCAGGTGCCTCCAAAAATGACTCCGGTGTTTCAAATGCACCCGTGGCTGAGCAAGCCCCGGGAGCGGCCGGGAATTGTGCACGTCGGGGAGGGGAGATGGAAATGTCACATTTCAGAGTGGTAGCGCTTGACTTGTCCCCCACAATAACCACATTAACTGTTTCTGTCAGGAGAAAGTCAGGATCTGGTCTCAAAATACCACGGGAAGAGTGGAATGCAAAAAAAATAATGAGTCATTTTTTGCTAAAAATTGTTGTGTCTGGGTCTTTCAGCAGATCTTCCCCGGTTCTCTCTCCTCTCCTGTTTCCTCTCCCCCTTCTGCAGCGAACGTTTTGGGAACTGCAAGGAAATCCAGAGCCTGAATCTTTATTTGCTCAGGCCATTCCACTGGAATCTGAATGGAGCCCGGGTTACAGAGCAGGGCTGTCACTGCTGCGGCTGGGATGGCACCCACAGCGGGGGATTCGGGCTGAAAGAAGCACAGTCCCGGGATGATTCCTTCTGCCATTTGTGATGCCAGCCCCAAAGCCACCCTGTGCCAGCCCCTGGGCAAACGACACCAGGAGCCCGGAGCCCCTTGACCACTGGAGGGAGCCCATATTGTGCCAGAATGCAACAGAAACACTACGAGGAAGACAAAAAAAATACTAAAATATGAAATATCATATCATTGTAGTCAGAACAAAGTGTCTTCTCCAGGTCAGACCGTGATCTATAGCAATGCAAAATGTTATAAAAATCAGATTTAAATGTCCCATTGTACTTCATCAGCACAAAGAAGAGAAAGAATTATTAAGAACAAGGCTCTTTTTTCCTTCCCCCCCATATTTTGAATGTCAGCCTGGCACCTTTCACAGGGAGTGAATTCATACACCAGGATGGTGGCAGACCCGGCTTGGACGGAAAATGCCCTTGTGTCCCCTCACTGTCCTTACTTAAATATAAGTCAGCACCTATAGATTCCTTCACCCCAGAGCTGCAGTAGCTCACCACTGCTGCTTCCCAAGGAGATTTTGCTCTCCTGATAAGCCACTGCAGAGAGGCAGAACAGAAGCCACATGCCATACTTGTGGCACAGCATCCTTCTCATGCACCTACAGGAGGCTGCTCTGCACCAAAAAACTCTGCTTGGCAATTGTGCCGAGGAATGTTCCTGGGTCCCTAAATTTCGTGTTGTGAACGTTGAAATATTTGTAATTCAAAACACACTTTTAGCACACAAATATTTCTGGCTTCGCAGAGCGATGCCAAGTTGCTGGAGACCCTGAAATGTCAAAATGGAATAAAACTGAAAGTGATTTGTGTACTAATCTGTTTTCTTGGCCCTGGAGAAATTACCATCAAGACCATGATATAACCACAGCCCCACAGACACAGAGAGCCCATTGTGTTTGACACTCCTGTTCTGAAATACTGTCCTTAATGGATAAAAACACATTCTAGTCAACTTTTTCATGTCTTACCTGAGCTCTTTTACCATTTAATACAGGGCTTTACCCAATGTCATTTTGCTTTTTTCCCCCTGCTTTGGTCTCCCACTGGGGTTTTGCCCTCCCACTCCCCTGGTTGTTCTCCCTGGGGGCTCTCTCGGATCTGGGTGGGTTTGCCCCCCCAGCTGCATGTGCTGAGGCTCAGTAGCAGCTGGTGGCTGCTGTCACCACGCATGGTACATCTGTCCCCTAATTGCCCCTCGGCCTGAGCTGACAGGACGCTGGCAGGGCACAGCTTCTCCTTGAGCTGTGTTTTGCCAGAGCTGCTCCAGCACAGCCTCTGCTGCCTTTGAAGCCTCTCCTTCCCCCCAGCGCTCAGGTAGTGGCTTTTTGTCACACGTGAGTAAGAACAGATGTGAGCTGGTGTGAAGGGGAGGAGGGGACAGATGATGCCAGCGGTTCAGTGCTCACAGAGCAGGAGGGATTCTGCTGCCTGTAAAGCTCCACTTGCCCAGTCTGCCTGTGTCTCTGTGCAAGGACTGTGACCAAAGTGTTCCCAGGGTGCTGGGTGTGCTGGCTGGGTGGCTTTGGGCACAAAGATCCAGGCACTCACACAGATACAGCATTTTCTCTGCTGAGAGTGACAAAGCTGAGCTAAGCAAAGGTCTTCACACATTCAGGGCTCTGTTGGGGTGGCTCAACCACACCCAGGCAAAATATTCCTCCTCCGTAGACTTTACACCTCTTGCTTGGTTTTGTATCACCCAACCGAGTGCAAAATTGTCTCCAAGCACTTCTTGCACTTCTTACCCAGCAATAATGAGCACACACAAAATTAATATCAAAGCACAAGTCAAGCATTGGCCATGCTCCAGTGGCACAACCTCATTCCTTCAGGAGAATCCAGACTCTGATGCTGAACAGGATTTCCCAGAGCCCACACAATGTGAAGCTACAGCTCCAAGGCTCTCCCTTGTCTGAGGGGATGCTCAGAGATCAGATGGGCAGGGTCACTCTGGGGAGCCAGGATTCCATAGCCTCTTCCCAAGTTTTCCAAGGAAAATATGAACGTGCATGCCATTTGTACAGAGTCCCTCTGAAGGATGCAAGCACATCCCTCCTGGCCACCCTACCACAAATTGTGTCTTCAGGGTGAACACTTAAATGGAATAACAGAATTGTTAAATTGGAAAAGACCTCAAAGGTCTTTGATTCAACCATTAATGAACTGTACTGAATTTATACATCATTTTCTATTGGAAAAACTCACTTTCATAACTTACACTTCTTTCCCCACATTTTCCTCCCACTTGCTGGGACACCTCTACATCAGGGTGGTTGTACCCAGCTATGAAATGTCCTCTCCATGGCACTGGCCCAAAATGGAAAGGGCTCCTGAAAAGCTGGTACCCCACGTTCCTCCTGATGTCTGGCACAGACATTTCCCATCAGCAAACCCGCTGTGGTGAGCATCATTACAGGAGTCTGAGAGTTCACCTCTTACCCTGCACTGGATGGGCTGGTTCCCCTTTTTTGGTGTAACAACCAAATACTTGAAACATTTGCCCCGAAAACACAACATCTGGATTCAATTCCCTCCCCAACCCGAGAGTCTCTAACCTGTATTTCCCACGAGAGAGATGTAGCACAATGCTAAACAGCAATCTGGCAGGGGGGAAAACATGGTATTTTTTATTCTTGCTCTCCAAGCAGAGCTATTGTACAAACAGGAACACAAGTGTCCTGAGGCCAAAAAGCGAGCAAGAAGCACATGACTCCCTACCCTGCCTGCCACAGCAGCAGTGATAACATGTTCTGCTTATTATCAATAGCTGTTTTACAATAAATACATAATCTGCCCTGAACAGAGGGCTCAGAGCCCAGGATTTGCTTACCCCATAGCTCACCCCATAGCTTACCCCATGGTTTATTTTGGGGGAGAGGAAGAAATGGTTTAGAGGTTGGAACTGTGAATATGGCACCTCGAGTTAAGTCTATAGGCTGGAGGAATGTGCAGATGCAAATTTCCCTTTGTGCTTCTGAGAATAAAAGTATTGCCATTAATCAGCCTCTCTTCCTCTGTTTTTTAGGTCATCACTTATTGATACAAGGGGGCTGGAACAAGCAGAGGGAAGACACAGAGTGTTCCAGTGGCACAGACAGTGCTCATCAGCCAGGCACGGCTGCAAATGTTACAGACAACCCTGGTTTTGTACAGAAAACCCTTGCTGAGCATGCAAACCCTCAGTGAAATACTGGAGTTGTCACCTCTGGCACTGACTGGGG